GATCCCATGTCCTGTTTTTCTCAAGAGCTTCTAACTCCTCTATCATAGCTTCTCACAATCTTGGATCTTGGCTTCTAACCAATCTTTCGGGATTGCCACTGAATTCAATGATGCCACAAGGCCTTGTAAGTAGGTGACAATAAAGAGTACAAGACATAGTTAGCTATGTTGTTATTATCACCACCTTCATCTTCACTTTCAAAGCCATATCTTTGTGGTGGTTTTCCCGCCGCGCTTCTTGTCCCCTTTCTTATGGCAATAGGTAATTCAGATTCTCCTCCCCCTTCTTCAGATTCCTCTTCTCCTTGCCCTAACTCACTATACACCTGTATGGGCTTTATATGATCTAACATTTGCTCATCAACCTCAGCATCTTGAGATCATAGCCGCTCGACTTGTTGTATTACTGGAAGTCTACTTCTCTGTGTGTAAACCTGTAGATTCTCTTCTTCACAAGGCTTTCTCTACTCCTTTTCTTGAACAGGATCACCCACACAACAAGGAATTGAACCAACCACAACCTTCGTATTCCTTTATTGAATAATCCTCTTCGGAGCCCAACATTGTTGGTATTTCTTAACCTCACAGATAAAATCCGCAAGCGCAAAATACCGATGTAGCACTTCACCCAGGAGTATTCCAAGGTATCAATTTCCACAAGGACCATGTGTGTCGACTCTTCACCAGGTTCATCCAAGGATACGAAGCTAAGATAGGCTAAGGGTAGAGATGATTTACTAGTGAGAGATAGTGTCTACAGAAAGCTCAATTTAATCCTAACAAGGTACATCGGGAGCTGGCTTCGGGCGCTGGCCAGCCTGCTGCTCCCAGATATGGCTCTACAACGTACACGGACAGGGAGGACTTTAGTATTTTGAGGGCTGTCACCACCTCTACACACACCTCAAACCTACTGTGAGATACGAAGCAAGAATGTGCAGATGTGCTGGGGGCTTCTTTTGCCGGTGGCAGGTCTCGTGGATGTGCGGATGTGGAGTTGGCAGGACGACGACTTGTGCTAGCATGAAGCAAGAATGGGGCTTGACGTCCGCGGCGGTGACTTCCTCGTTCTCGGCCGAGTGTTCTCCCTCCTTTCGGTTTCCCCCCTTCTTTGGGCGAACACTGTTCTAGTTGTGGGGAACGCTAAGGGGAGGGCGGAGGCTCCGGCTTGCTGTAGGAGTTTGCGGCAGATTGATGATGTTTCACGGGTGGACAAGGGCCTGTCTTTGCCGTTGGTTACGGTCAAGTTATGACTGCTTGTGAGATGTCAAGGACTATTTCGTGGCCATCAATGTGGGGGTGCTTGTGTGGGTGATGTGAAGATGCTGGCGAAAGCCTTGCCATGCCTTTGGCCGGTTCGATGACGACGGCGCCCGCGGGCGCTGTTTCCCTTCTTGGAGGCGTTGTCATGGCGTTCTTTCATATCCCCCCCCCCCCAAAATCTCCAGGTGAAAACCTTGTTCCGATTTTCGAATGAGCGGTGACGGCGTTACGCTTCGTGTCCTCCTTGTGGGTGTCACTTCGGAGAAGTTCCAACGCATCGACGACTGTTGATGGTCTTTTTCAGTTCAAAAGATTTCATACCTTGTGTTCGGTGAGGCCTTCACCTTCTTGGGTCTGCTTCATTCTTGTGGTGGGTGACATGCTCTTCGGTTGTTTCTGCTGATGAAGTCGAAGCTGCTCGCTAATGGGGTGCAGTGAAGCTTGGCAACATGACATGTTGCAGTCTTTTCCAAGGAGTTATGGTGCTGGCCATGTGAAGGAAGAGGCTCCTCGGTGGCTTGGCTGATGTCCATTGTTGGATGTCGGAGCTGCTTTTCGCATTGGCGACTTTCGTGGCTTCAGTGTCGCTGCAGTTGTGAAGTCGGCGCTGCTGGGTCACTTGTGTGGCTAGCTCAGCAATGATAACACCTCTTTTGCGATGTGGGAGCTTTTGTGTCGCTTTTGTGTTTAGCTTGGCACTGACGTCCTGTGATTGGGCTCCGCCGTCGTTGTTAGTTGTGTAGCGGTGGGTTTCAGCCTTTATTCCTGTAATTAACCGTGCAATTGTATGGTTTTCGGGCCCGGTTTTCCTTATAAACTGGGTCAATTCTTTTCTTCTAAGTATAAAAGTGGAACAATGTTCCACCTTAGGTTTCAAAAAACTAATTGTAGCAGTACTGCTTGCTTCTCTGTCCCAAGCCTGCTCCCTTGCTTCCCACCCGAACGGCGCCGTCGTCAGCTTGTCCTTCAGCTGTTACACCATCACCAATTCACCATTCCCCTCTGAGCTCTGAATTCTGATACATGAAGTTACTAGTGGAGATTTTTTTGGTTTGGAAGCCTCTCGATCCATTCCATTGCTCTCTCAGTTATACACACACTTAGGGCCTGTTCACTTTGCTGCCATTTTCAACCTTACCAAATTTTGGTAAAGTTGTCAAAAAAGTGGCTACATTTAGTTTGCTACCAAATTTTTGGTAACTATATAAGAAATCATGTCAAAATTTTGGCAAGTTTGCCAAAATTTTAGTAACTATACCAAAATTTGTCAATGCCAAAATTTGGTAAGGTTTTTTTTGGCATCAAGGTGAACAGGCCCTTAGACATACTCAGCCCAACATCTTCAATCCAATGCTTCATCCTAGGAAACGTTTCCAGTTCTCCCAATCTGTCTCATACATTAATGTTGTACTGGTGGTTGTTCAGTCGAGGCCCTGTTTAATTCTCACGCAAAAACTTTTCACCCTATCACATCGAATATTTGACACATGCATAGAGTATTAAATATAAAAAAACTAATTGCATAGATTGCGTGTAAATTATGAGACGAATCTTTTAAGCCTAATTGCTCCATAATTTAACAATGTGGTGCTACAGTAAATATTTGCTAATGACGGATTAATTATACTTAATAAATTCGTCTCGCAGTTTACAGGTGGAATCTGTAATTTATTTTGTTATTAGTATACGTTTAGTATTTCAAATATATATATCCGTATATCTGATGTGACACCCAAAACCTTTTACCCCCTAACTAAACACAGCCTAAATACGAAGACACAACCTAAGTATGAAGTGGTATAGTGACAATAATCCAGATTCCTGTATGAGTTGACATTTATTTTGTCCTACGTACAATTTCTCTAATTTGCGAGTTTTCTTGCTGCACTCTGCGTATATACAATCCCATGTAAGGGTGTGTTTATAGGCGGTAAAGTTTTGGCGTGTCATATCGGATATACGAACACACGTTTAAAATATTAAACGTAGTCTAATAATAAAATAAATTACAGAATCTGCCTGTAAACTGCAAGATGAATTTATTAAACTGCGAGACGAATTTATTAGTAAATGTTTACTGTAGCACCATATTATGAAATCATGGAGCAATTAGTCTTAAAAGATCCGTCTCGCAATTTACACGCGATCTGTGTAATTAGTTTTTTCTATATTTAACACTTCATGTATGTATCCAAATATTCGATGTGACAGGATGAAAAAGCTTGCTAGGAGATTTAAACAGGCTCTTAGGGCATTTACAATGTGAGCCACTCCTAGAGTGTCCTCACTAACTGAGAACACTCGTAGGGGAACTCAGCTCGTAATGGAGGACACCCTTGGATGGGCTCCTAAAAATCTAAAGCAACTTAATAAAGACATTCCAACCCAAAATGGGTATCCCAACCCACAAAGCCCCATATTTATTTTTACTACCCTACCCCTAATCTCTCTCTCCCGCCCCCTCTTTTTTTTCACCGCCGCACGGGCCTATCCCTCTCGCCATTGCACTCGCCTCTCCCTCTCGCCGCCACCGCCGCTCGCCTCTCCCGTCGTCAGCGGCCGCGAGGACGACGAGGAGGGCCACCTCTCCCGTCGCCGGCGTCCACCGCTGCCCCTCTCTCTCCCTCTCTCCCATCGCCACCCATCGCTGTCCTCCCCGGCATCCTCTGTCTCGCGCCGTCGTTGGTCGGGGGCGCCATATCCTGCGCCGTAGTGGGCGGATCTGGGCCCCCCGCGGCCAGATCGAGGAGGATACGGTTGCAGGCACAACGCCGGCGGTGGTGAGCGGCGCGCGGATCTAGTCGTAACTGTCACGGATCCATTGTCGCCGTCGCAGATCCATCGTCGTCGTCGCGGATCCATCGTCGCCGCCGGAGGTCACGTGCCGCGCCACCGGATCCATCTCTCCTCTCTCTCTCTCTCGTCGCGGGGTCATCGCCGGATGCCGTGTGCCGTGCCGCCACCCCTCTTCCTCCGCCCGTCGCCGAGTCGTCGCCGTCGCAGGGTCGTCGCCTACTTCCAACGACGAGGGCGAGGGGTGGAACGGTAAAATGTGGGGTGGGAGCAATGTCCACGGGACACTCACCTAGCCACGCCCTCTACAATGCGTCTCCTAGCTCGGTGTCTCAGCAAAAGGCTGGTGAGGAACATGACCCCAGCGAGGTGCCGCTTGGCAGAGGAGACGGGTCCGGCTGAAAAGCTACCTGGAGGGGAACGGCCACCCATTGCTGATGGCCTAAGACTATCTCCAACAATACTACCCATAACTGGAGACCCATTGAACGGTATGCGTCACGCTGAAGGAAAAGGTCACGAACCTATTTCTCGCCTTCTCCAACAGGGAACGCAAAAGAAAACCAGCACGCGGACTGTTTCTCTCTCCACCTCCCGTGAAATCGTTGTGCCTTGCGAGCCAGGCGTTTGGGTCGATGAGAGAGAACACTCAAATTTGGGTCGCACTCTGCCTGGCACCCAAAATGGGTCCTTTGTATGGGTAATCTGTTGGACCGTGTTTTTGTTCCGCTAGAGTGGCTGAAGCATGCATTTTGAGTTTGGGTGCCACTATGCCTAGCCTGTTGGAGATAGTCTAATGTCCTACAAGTGCCGTTGCTTTCTCCTACAATTTGACCCTTCCATAAAATAAAAAGGAAGAAAAAATTATCCAGTTTCTACTGCAACTTCGCAATTCTGCAACACAAAATATCTAGCTTTTTTTTTTTTTTTTTTTGCGGGGGACAAAAATATCTAGCTAAGCTGCCGTTCTTCCACTAACCCAAGAAATGGCCGGACTGTTCGCATCGTCGGCCGTGAAATGGGCCATCGACAACCTCTCCTCCCTGCTGCCGGCGGCGGCGGCGGCGGGGTCGAGCCGGGGCCTGGACGCGCTGGAGGAGCTCCGGATGCTGGAGCGGACCATGCGGCGGATCCACGCCACGCTGCGCGACGCGGAGCAGCGCTGGAACATCCGCGAGGAGTCCGCCAAGCTGCGGTTGGAGGAGCTCAAGGAGCTCGCCTACGACGCCGAGGACGTGGTGGAGGAGTACGAGTACGAGGTGAACCGGCGCAAGGTGGAGGCGCTCGAGCGGCTCGCCGCCGTTCATGGCGGCGGCGGCGCCAGCAAGCGCAAGCGCGAGGAGGTAAATTAATTAATTAATTAATCAACTAGTCCGGTCGCTGCATCTGCTGACGAAATCTATTAGACTATCATTAGTGGGGTAGTAGCACGTTGTCTGTGCTGTGATTAGTCATAGTATTTTATACTGATTACTAGTTTTAGCTATACTTTGCAAGTCCCATTCAGGTCCCAAGTGTCTGAACCCTGAACAAACCCCCTGAAGAGGGGATAAAAGCAAACAGAAAACTGTAACCCCTCTTCCATTTTTTTTTCCCATTAGAAAGCTACAAGACAAGCACTATATTAGTATATTACTGAATTAGCTGGTTCAGTACTTTGTCCTAGCTGAATCAAAACCATCAAATGGAGTTTTCTAGCTTGGTATTGGTAGTATATCGATTCCCAATGAAGTTAGCTTGAATCCTAAACAAATGTGTCTATAGGTAGAGACATGAAAAGAATAGTGAACTGTCTTCACGGCTGCACCCAGGGTTCTGGGATTCGGGCCAAAAGGTCCGAATTTCGTCCATTTTGGTGAGGTCCGAGACACAATTTCACTCCCATTTCGTCTGAATTTGGTTAAAATTGTCAAATTTGATGTTTTGTCCGAAATTTCTGAAATTCGTCCAATTCGGTGGAGCACGATTTATATTTGCAATCGGATCCCAAAACCCTGTCTGCACCATAGATGACTGAACCTCCCTCTTTCAATTCTTTTTCAAAAAAAAGGTACATGAAGAGCAGTTCTCCACTGAGTCTGGAATAGTTCCAGTTCCAAGTGAGTTGGCTGACAGAACAAGGACAGTTATTCAGAGATTCTGTGAGATCAAAGACTACTGCGATAGTTTTAGTTTGTCTGATAATGATGGGGACAGAAGGATTGTCCCTGATATCAATGCTATGCGGCAGACTAGCTCTTTTGTATTTGCACCCAGAATTCTTGGAAGAAAGAAAGACATGGAGAATGTTATCGCAAAATTGCTCTCTGGGGAAGGCAGCCGTGTTGGAGGTTGCATGTCTGTTTTGGCCATTGTTGGTATGGGAGGATTGGGCAAAACAACACTAGCACAGCTTGTCTACAATGATCCAAGGGTACGCCAATCTTTCGATCTTTGCGCATGGGCTTATGTTTCAGAGTGTTTTGATGTTCACAACCTAACACGCAAGATCATCAGTTCTCTAACCCAGAGTAACTGTGATCATATACAATCTGGTGATCTACAGGGAGCATTGGCCAACGAGATAAAGGACAAGAGGGTTTTCCTTGTCTTTGATGATGTATGGAATGAGCGAAGCGATTACTGGGAGTTGTTGATCACACCGATGTTTGCTTCTAAATGTTGTGACATTATAGTAACCACTCGGAATGAGACAGTGGCAAGGTTGGTGCAAACAACACAAATGTACAATATGAACTGCTTAAGTCCTGACGAGAGTTGGTCATTGTTCAAGCAAACAGCATTTACTGAGCAAGAAAATATCAGTCCAGCAAACCTTGTAGAGATTGCTCGAATGGTATCTGAAAAATGCAAGGGGTTACCATTGGTAATCAAGACTGTAGGGAGCATATTGCGATTTGAAACCAATGAAATTAAATGGAGGGATGTCCTACAAAGTGAGTTATGGGACTTGGAGCAGACTCAGAACGAGGTTTTGCCAGTGTTGGAGTTGAGCTACAAGCACATGCCGATAGACCTGAAACAGTGCTTCGTTGCCCTTTCTCTATATCCAAAATATTATTATCTTGATGAAAACATGGTAGTTTGGTTATGGAAACTACTTGGTTTACTTCAAGGCGATGAAATTGGAAAGTTATATTTCAATGAATTGGTTCAGCGATCATTGCTTCAAAGTTCTATCCATGGACAGAAAGAAGGTCATGCATGATCTTGTCCATGATCTTGCATGCTTTCTTGCAGGGGAAGAGTTCTTTAGACTTGAGGAAGATAAACAAACTGAAGTTCCACGGGGCGCTCGATACATGTCGATAATGCCAAGATCACTATGTAGGAAGAGAATTCAAATATCAAATGCCTCGCAATCTCTCAGAGCCATCATAGTGATAATGGGTGATATTGATATCGTAAATCCGGAAGTGTTGTTTACGCACTGTAAGAAGCTTCGGATCATTTACGTCGTACAGGGCAGTGTTCAAAAGGCACTACTTGACTTCATAGGTGGCATGAAACTACTACGGCATCTCACTCTATCAGGTTATGAATGTGCTACACATTTATCACGTCCTAATTCTATGTCTGAGCTATTTAATTTGCAAACCCTGGACATACAAGCGTATACGTTACTTAAAATTGGACGACTGATTAACTTGCAAACTTTGCCTGAAATACATCTCATGAAATGTGGTTGCTTCGTTGACATAAGAGAGTTGAGGAATATGAACAAAATAAGGAAGTTGTGTATTCGTGGACTGCGTAATGTACCTAGTATCATGCATGCAGATGAAGCTCATTTACAAAGTAAAAGGAACCTTGAGGTACTAGAGTTAGATTTTGACGAATTATTTCTTGATAAAGATTTCGATGAATTGAGAAGTTGTGAACATACAGAGCATGGTGACGCTAATGAAGCAGCTGTCACTCAATCGCGAGGCCAGTTACTTGAGAAACTACGACCACACTACCAAAGCCTCAAGGTACTAAGAATACAAAACTTGAACCATGGAAACTACCCCAGCTGGTTGGGCAGTGCTTCTTTTTCCAAGTTAACTGAACTGAAGTTACAGGCTTGTCAATCTCAACACCTTCCAACACTTGGTGAGTTACCTTCTCTCAAATCCCTTGATATAAGCCGAATGGAGTTTGTGGAACACATTGGCCATGAGTTTTGCAGCCTTCAGCAAAGATTCAAAGGGTTCCAAGCATTACAAGACTTGAGCTTTGATGGTATGACTCGATTGTCAGAGTGGTCTGGAGTGGAGGATGGTGAGTTTCCACACTTGGAGACCCTGTTATTCTGGAATTGAATTGAAGTCTCTTCCATTTGTTCCATTGTCATGCTTGCGTAATCTCAGATTATATGGTTGCAAAAATCTTGTTACTTTTCCTGCCTCAGCTACCATGAAGGAACTAAGCATCTCGAGTTGTGAGAAACTGAAGGAACTGCCAGCTCTACCATCACTCCGTTCATTAGACCTGTCCCATTGTCCAAGCTTGTTTGCACTTGGTCACTTCCCCTTGCTCACTTCCTTGGGACTGTATTATATATTCAATGAAGATATACTATGCAAGTTGGTGAATTCGTACATGACACTGGAAGACTTAACAATTTGGTCTGATACCATCAAGTCATTCGCTCTTGAACCCCTCGGCCTACCATCAGTTCGAAAGCTTGAATTGAGATGTCCTAATTTACACTACTGTGGTGCTCTTACCAGCCTCAGCTCCCTCAAGATACTAAACATAACTGGTTTTCCTCAACTTCACATACCCCACTCATCACTCCAAAGCCAGCTGGAGGAATTGATTGTAGACCCTTGAAGGGAGTACAATAATTACGAAACGTAAGTGAGCTATAAGACTTCGACATCGGATTTGTGATTAAGTTAAGTAGAAAGGAAAATAGGACCGTGGATTTGTACCTAGTTATTAACTTACGTGCTATAACAAGCTGTACTAAGAGAGAGAGAGAGGTGGGTTATTATTGGTGCTATATATATGTAGCCAATGATCAATGAAATTATCTGGGGAGATGGGCGATGCGAGGGGTGTCTCGAGGGGCGACGCGAACTCTCATCGCTGGCGATCCTCGTCGTCGCCGGCGAGCTGGGAAGCGGAGGAGGATCGAGGAAGGAGTAGCCCACGGCCACTGGGAGAGCGGGAAGTAGGGGATAGCGGATTGGGGTGGGCGGTGGTGGTGGGAGGTGGCGGGGTACAGTCTCCGACGACTCCCGCCGTTTTGCGAAGGTCATCCAAGGCACAGATATGGCGGCTCAGGGTGGTGGCTGGCGCAGGCGAAATCAAGTCAGGCCAGATTTTTGCAACAATCAGTGGGGTGGCCATGGAGGAGGTGGAGGTGGAAGAAGATGGGAAGGAGGAGGATTCCAAAATCCCCCAAACCAACCTCAACAATTCCAACCTCCAAGGCGATTTCAAGGGGATGGAGCTAAGGGGGAAAAGGGTGATGAATCCAAAAGTCCTCAGCAAGGTATGGAGAAGCAGATGCAGCAATATCGCCCGGTCAAGCCAAAGGAGAATGATCAAGGGCAGAAAGGGGAGGGGTTGGTGATTGCAGAGCAAAAAGGTCAGCCACATATTCCCAATCCTTCTCATCCTGGTGTGTTCTCTAGTCAGAAGTTTGTCTTAGATGCAAAGAGAGAGGGCACCTTGCTAGGGATTGCTGTACAAAAATCTTCTGTACTAATTGTTCCAAACCTTCATACAAAACTGAAGACTGTTTGTATGACAAACAACCCAGGCCGGTTGCTAAGCTAGTTGGATATGGGGCTCCGGGATTTGGTTGCATTTTGATTCAGAATATCAAATCTGCACCACCTAAAGAGCATGTAAACCCCATGGCAATGGTGAAAATTATCTATGGAGAGGATTTATCTGAAACAGAGTTGGAAGAAGGATAGAAGGATTCAGACAACAGTTCAAATGGAATTGGGAATGGAGGGCTAAGAAACAACCAAGTGGCACCTTTCCAAACAAGTTAAGGTTGTCTCTTGTTTGAGATGTCGAATTTTGATCACTTTAATGTGAAGGGCACTAAGGTGGAGGTAAATGTCTCTGAATGGACTAGTGAATCTGCAGCTATAGGAAAAATGCATGTTGTCTGGGTAATAGTAGAAGGACTCCCTGATGAAATGAAGGTTTACTAGGCTCTATATGAGGTGGGTTCTAATTTGGGGGTGGTCATGGAAGTGTTTATGCCTTTGCTAGCTGCTAAGGATATTGTCAGAATGAAAATAGGGATGATGGATATCAAGCAATTTCCATTTAGGCTGATATTATCTACTCCTGAGGCTTTGATGTATGAGGCATGTTTTACTATGGAGAATGTGGTGGAAATGGGCTGGTTTAAAGGACAACAGCTTGAAAAACAGCATGACATAAAGGCAAACATTGAAGACAAGGAAGATCAGAAGTCTGATACCAAAGGCAAGCGAGGGATGGAGAGTTGGAGACAAAAGAGACAGCTGGGCAGCTAGCAATGTTTCAGCAAAGGGGAGAATGCAGTCAAATCCAATGTCCCAGTATAGAGCAGGTTGAGTTGTTGGCTGAGGAGGATAAGAACAAGGCTTTGCAGATTATACAAGACAGGGAGTTGGCACTGGTGCTGCAAGAGAAGGAAGCAAGAGGTCAGTTCAGTGGGGATAAAGCTGCTGAAGATAACATACCTGAACACCTCATGTTGGAGTTTGAGAAGGCCTCCAAGTCTGCTCCACATGACGTGTCAGTAGCTCGAGAGACACAAGAAGGACAGTTTGCTAGCAATTGTGAGGATGGTGTGGAAGTGGAAGGTGATGAGGAAGGGAAGCTGCAGCTAGGAGACAGTGAAGAGCTTTTTGATTCACAAGATTCCGAGGATGCCTTTGCCAAAAGCTTGGGAGTGGTGCTACCTAAAGAGGAGATGGGAAGTCAAGAGGAGGAAAGAAGGGCAAGCAAGAGATTCAGAGACAGGGAGGACAAGAAGACTCTAGAGATGACAATGAATAGGAAAGAAGCACAAAATGCATTCCTCAACAAAGGTCAGGGCTCATCCCCTCTTCATCATGATTCAAGTATTTCTCTTGCTAACTTAGCTAGTCTTATAGGAGTCAGCCTTGGCTGCTCTATTGAGGCTGTTGATTAGCTGGTAGTTGAGGACGCAATGGTGAATTGGAGAGAAATGAGATGAGTTATGGAGAGATAGCATAAAACTCTAAGGCCTGCATAAAACTCTAAGGCCTGTGCTAGCTGGATTTCATTTTGTCTCTGTTTCTTTTGTGAGCACCTGGGGGTTCTTCCTCTCTGGTTTTCCAAGACTCCTTTTTTGTAAGAACTCATGCGTTTCTTTAATGGAAATGGAGGGCTCTGCCCTTATATATATATATATATATATATATATATATATATATATATATATATATATATATATATATATATATTAATTAAATTTGTTTGGTACTCCATGGTGCCCGGGTAACATGGTTGAAATTGAATATATATATATGTCTATAGCCAACTACTTCATCAGATTGATCATCACATAACAAAAAATCAGAATTTCCAAATCGATCATCACATAATCCTGGCCTTTCTTTCTTTGACATACAGCATTATTGCATCTATGCATATAAATTAAGTTATCGTTTCGTGTGCATTCGTGGGAGTTAAAGTCTGCATATATTTTTTATTTTTTTACAACCATATTATCGCACTAAATGAAATATAGGAGAGTTAAGTTTTCCTTTGTTTAGTTGAAAAACCTTAATTATGTGATGATCAGAGAGGGACAGAGGGAATATTGTCTTAGAGTAAGTTTAATAATATATATTACTACAAAACATCAAATAGATGTCGCCACTATAGATACCGGTAGTGCTAAAACCGGCACCTATAGGCCTTTTCCCACCTCCGCGGGATGAAATCGTAAAAAACCAGCACCTTTAAGTAATTATAGGTGTCCGTTCTAAATAAAAACTGGCACCTATTATATTTTGTGTCGGTTTTTTTTAAAAAATAGGCACCTATAATATATTATAGGTGTCGGTCAATTAAAAACCGACACCTATAATATATTAAAGGTGCTGGTTTTTTTAAAAACCGACACCCTACCAAACGAGCCGAGCCGAGAGACGACCTTATCCACTCACCGAGTGGGAGGTGAGGGGGCAACCTTATCCTATCACCCGTGACCTCTCTCTCTCACCCTATCCTTTCTCTCTCAGCCTCTCTCTCTCTCTCTCGCACCCGAGGGAGGCGGCGGTTGTGGCGGCGGGAGGGAGGCGACGGCAGCAGCGGTTGGCGGCGGGAGGAGAGGCGGCGGTGGCGGGCGGCGCCCTTCCCTCCGCCAGATCTGGCGGGAGGGGAGGTGGTGTCAGCAGCCCGACGGCAGAAGGGGATGCGGCGGCGGTGGGTCAGCGGCAGGAGGGGAGGCGGCGGCGGTCCAACAGCGGCGCCCTCCCCTCCGCTAGATCTGGTGGGAGGGAAGGTGGCGACGGTGGCTCGGCGGCAGGAGGTGGCGACGGCCGCTTCCTCGGTAGCTGCAGCGGTGGTGGCAGCGCCCTCCTCCTCTCCATCCGGAAGTGGCGGTGGTGATGAAGATAGCCTCCTACTCGATCCGATTCATTCTTGATGAATGTGTGTTCTTGATGAATATGTTTGATTCTTGATGAATGTGTGTTCTTGATGAATGTGTTCTTGATGAATGTGATGCTGATGTGTTGATTTTCTAGGATTATTGACTATGTTTGTGTTCATGAATTTGAGGAATTTTGGGGATTCGGGTATTAGATTGGATCGGCTTGACGTCGATGCATTGAGCCGATTTTTGTTTGGCTCATGGGCGCCTCAAAGGTGTCGATTTTGAAACCGGCACCTTTGACCTTGGGTAATCAGTGCCGCCTCCTAGGTACCAGTTGGGAAAACCGGCACCAAAGGAGGTTTTCCAACCAGCACCCTTTAGAGTTTCTGTAGTAGTGATAGCTAACTGCTAGCTATAAGCTCATATTGAAGCTAATATGTATAATATGTTAGCTATCAGGTTAGCTACATTTCTTTCCCTTTCTCTCCTAATCTCACCATGAATTCAATGTATCTATCATAGAACATTTGTGGAGCTAGGTCTTTGCATGAGAGTGTTGACGGAAAACACGGCAGCATGGGAGATTTGCTTCACTCCAGTGCAAGTTCAAGGCTTGTCTCGAGTGTCAAGAGCGTGTCAACTGGTTTGATCATGTAACCAGCAAGAAAGACAAAACATAATTAGATGAGCGATAGCCAATCGGCAGAAATCTTGTTACTTTTCCTGCCTCAGCTACTCTGCAGGAACTAAACATATCGATTTGTGAGAAACTGAAGGAACTGACATCCCTCCCATCACTCAAGTCATTGCATCTGTTCAATTGTCCAAGCTTTGTTACATTTGGTCACTTTCCCTCGCTCACCATCTTATATCTAGACGATCCATTCAAACGTGAGATACTTCACAGGATGGCGAATTCACATTTGACGCTGGAAGAACTATCGATTTCGTCAAACACCTTGAACTCAATCTGTCTTCAGTCACTGAATTACTTGCCTTCACTTAGATCGCTCCAGCTGAGATGTCCTAATTTGCAGTACTGTGATACACTTGCCAGCTTCACTTCCCTCAAGAAACTAAGCATAAAGTCTTCTCCACGACTTCATGTACCTAATTCGCTTCGAAGCCAGCTGGAAGAGCTGTATACTTTCGAATCGTTCTAACCATGGTACGTATCTCTTTGTTACAGTTTTGTCATTTTTGTTGCATAATTTCAGCTTAACGTCCTCCATTTTACAAGAACACATATCTGATTAGCTGTCTCATTCAAGGCTGAAGTAACTGTCTTACTGGAAAT